AGGACTTGCTGATGAACTGGATGATTGGAAGTGAGAGCAAGAGAAAAACTACAAATAATTTCTCTAGACTTATACTGTGAACAGTATGGTGCTATTACTAAGATAAAAACAAACTAATGATTTGGAGGAGGGAGTATAGGGTATTAGAAAATCTCAACTAGATATTTTAAATTTGATACCTAAGAAATCAAGAAGGCAATTATGTGGGGGCTGGGGAGATAGCTCAGTAGAATAAGTGCTTGCTTGGCAAGTGCAAGGGTCTGAGTTCAATCCCCTGTTCAGAAAAAAAAAAGAAGGCAATTATGAATGACTGGGTGAGACATTACTACAGGTATACATTTAAAAGTGGTTAACAGGCCAGGGAGATGGTTCAGTGGAATAAGTGCTTCCTGCGCAAGCACAGGGGCCTGAGTTCAATCCCTGGTTCAGCCAAAATAAATAAATAAATAAATAAATAAATAAATAAATAAATAAATGTGGTTAACATAGAGCAAGCTGCAGGACAGATAAAGCCACCTACTGAAGGAGTTGAGATAAAGGAGGGTGAGATGCGGAAAGAAGAGGAAAAAAATTAACTAGGAATATGCCTTTGGCATGCCAACATTAGAAACCAGGGAAAGGAAGAGACAGACAAGAGTTCAAAAAAGAAACAAAAAGGCAAGGTCTATGAGGCAGAAGGAACAAGCAAAGGTCATGCTGTATATGGTAACAAAGGAAGTGTTTGAGCAGATGGAGCCAAGATGCACCTGTGCTGTCTGGAGGTCAGGCAAAATGAGGCCAAAGATGCGACCAGTAGGTTTGGCTTCCTGCAGCTGATCAACTGCATTAAACTAGCACTTTTATGGGGGCAAGGCCATGGCCAGATTAAAGTGGGTTGATGACTACCTGGGAGGGGAAGCTCTGGAGAGAGTGGGTGTAAATCACACTTGAAAATGTTGAGTGTGCAGAGGAATAGAGAAGTGGGGCAGTCACTGGAAGGAGACACCATGGGATAAAGAGAGGGCTTGTTTTTGTTCATGGACAATTCAGAGCCTGGGTGAAGGGCTGATGGGGCTAATCTAGGACAGAAAGATGAGGCGCTCGTGCAGGAAAGTAGAGCTTCAGGAATGGAGTCTGAAGGGGCTGTTCACCTGCAGAACACTTGCCTGGCATGTATGAGTGCCTGTGCTCTAACCCAGCACAGAACAAAGGCAGAAAAAAAGAGGAAAGAAAGGGAGGGAGGGAGGGAGGGAGGGAAGGAAGGAGGGAAAATAGGAAAAGAGAGAAAGAAGGAGGGAAAATAGGAAGGGAAGGTAGAAGGAAGGGAGGGAGGGAAGAAAGGAAGAAAAAGAAAGAGAGGAAAGATGGAAAAACTGAAAGTGAGAGGGATGGGATTCAGTTTCCTGAGAGTTTACCTACCTTCAAAGAGCGAATTTAAAGGGTAAAATTATTTATTGTTCCTTAAGAACATTTATATTATTATACAATGAAGAGAACTAGCATTGAGTGTATATTATAAAATATATCTAATCCTGCTTCTAATACTCTGAGAATTGCATGTATTTTATCTAATATTTAATTTGTGTGTGTATATATATATATATATATATATATGGATTATTAGATCAACTTGGTGGAAACTACTCATGTAATCAAAGAGTTATGATTTTTTTCTTCTCTTTCTAATATTTCTACCAGGCAACGCATTTGCGAGAGTGAAAATTGGAGATTACCATTATTATGGCTACGGGACTAAGAAAGACTATCAAACAGCAGCCACACACTATGCATTGCAGCTGACAAATATCACAATGCGCAAGCCATGTTCAATCTAGCCTACATGTATGAACATGGCTTAGGTATTGCAAAGGTAACTGCATTGGTCCACATCTAGTAATGACAGACATGTGGGAAAGGAAAATTTATAAATGTTTTAAAATACACTGATGTCATCAATGTAGAGGGAGGAAGAGAAAGATGTGGAATTTGCTGTGTTCTTCCAATATGCCAGCACATATTATTTAACCATAATATGAACTCTGTGAGGATTATATTATTTTCTCCATTTATGCCAAAGAAATAATTAATGTGTGGAAAAAAATCTAGTCTAGCACAACTTGATTCATATCTACTTTTTCTAGTACATGTTCTTTCCTCCAACTTTTTTCCATTGAAATTTCCATTGGCCCTCAAGCTTTCAATAATAAGAATGACGTGAAATGAGGATAGAGCTGGAGACCCAGGTCATTGATCTGCAAATGTCTTATGGATACACTATTGTGTCCACAAACACAATGCTGGGCACTCTAGAAAGGCCTTAGAGAATGGATCTCCATCCTCTAAGATTACATTTGACTTGAGGCATTATGCAAAGAGTTGTCACTGTAATGTGTTATTTGGCAAAACATTTATAAATATTCCCTTCCCACACAGCCCACATTCAGTCAGTATAACCAGGTGAAAGTTATCACTGGGTCTCACAGAGAGATAAAGGTGCATTAAATGTCAGGGTAATGACAGACAAATGATGGATTAGATGTAATGTTCACTAGGGCTTTTAAGTCACACAGCCACTTGATAAGGAAAACCCTGTAACTCTCCCCAATAAGTGCATCAGGAAACCATAGTGCCAAGGCTGAGACACTTGGCCACACTTACAAAGCTCATCAGTGGTGCAACCAGAATTTCAGTCCAAGACTCAGAGCTCAAGTTTGTTGAGGAAAAAACAGACCCTGTACTAAGTCATTCTTACTGTTCAGACATGTGTTTCTCATTAGCATTTATATTCCAGTTGCACTTCTAGAGTCAAGTAACATGGAGATTATGCTAGTAATTGAGAATTAGCAAATTACCTACCTGAGAACTGATGAAAACAGTACACAGGCAGCCAAAGTCTTCTTATTCAGGTACTGATCTTCCAGCAGTACAGATCCCTGCTGTCTTGTCCTCCTGCCTGTTGGCTGACCATTTTTCATCAGCGTTGGTGTCCTAAGCAGTAGAAAGTTTGTTAAATCCAATTCAGTTCATTGGCCCATTACTAGCAGTTATGAGCTACCAGTGTATGTAAAACTCAAGGAAGCCCCACTAGACCCAAGAGCCACCTTGGGTGATTCTTTAGATGTTACTTGGTGACTCTCCATTTCTCCACCATGAAAAAGAAAATGAAAAAAAAAAAAACCCTAATAATACCTGGCTTGCCCCCAACCTTGAGGTAACATGAATAAGCCTTTGAGGAAGGGCTTTATTGTTCAACATTATGTGGAATATCTGTCATCTAGATCATAAGGAAATTAGAGCAACTGCTAAATTGTTTTCAATAAGATTACAGCTTTTATTAATCATTCCTTAGGCAAAATATAACAACCCGCAAGGAGTATCATTTGAAAAAGGACACAAACAACCACAGTCCATGTTAGTTCAAGTTAGCTTTCCTGCCTGGTAAACAGAAAGGACTCATTTCTCTGACAGCCACATTCTCACAACAGGGATGCCCTTTTGTCCTGAGTCCCTGAGGGCAGGAAGGGACATCCTCTCAGGACACAGGGCTAATCATGAAAGACAGGACACTGTCCTGTCAGAGGCTCTGGATTTCGTGCTTGGTGTCACCTCTCTGCTAGACACTTAATGCACAATATCAAATAGCAGCTGTCCAGGATTCCCTTTCATACATTCAGAAGAAAAAACTTTGAAGTTTCCCTCTGACCACTTTTTATTTTATTCTGCTAGGGTTCCTGTTAAATCATGGGTAGTTCACTTTGATCAGTCTCCTCTGGTCAAAAAATTTTTTTTTTTCCTACAGAAAGTCTCTACATTAAAAAAAGAAAAGCCTGATCTTAATCTCAGGTGTGGATATGAGCATTTTGGATTAAGCTAATGAAGGACCATTATTCTTTGTCTTTACAAATTTCTTTTGTTTAGGCATTAGAAAAACAATTACTGAGTGCCCAGGGACAAAATTTATTAATCTTGCTATCTCATAGTCAAATTTACAATGAGATTCTAAATCTTAAAATGATATCCTGATAACTAAAATACCAAAGCTCGTTCCAACAAGTGCAAAAAGGTTAGGAGAATAGGCTTTCCTAGCACTTGTCATTGAGTAATTAAGCATTTCTTCAGTGAGGCACTCAGCAATCCTTGTTAATCCTCAATACAAACCAGTGAGAAAGATGAGCATAATATTATTGTTACTAGAGTTTCTCTGAAAAGCCAAAGAAGATTGGTAGAATCATGTTTTATAAAATCTACATGAAAAAAAAATAAACTCTACATGTAAGACCTCTGGAGAAGAAACTCGTGTGTGTGTGTGTGTGTGTGTGTGTGTGTGTGTGTGTGTGTATTTTTAGGGCAGGGTCTACAGGGTGTTCAGGGTCTCACTATTAGATTGGACTCGTAGTGATCCACCTGTTTACAGCCTCCCGAGAGCTGGGATTATAGGTGCATGTCACCATGCCCAGTCTCAATTGCCATCTCAGTGTGCCCTGAAGGCCTGGGGATCAAACCCCCTGCCCCTGCCTGCAGGCACTTTAATCTGCTGAGCTATTTGGCCGGGCCTTGGAGATGAAATTCTTGATAAATCAATGTAAAAATATAGATCACTACTGTTATCATCTGTCTTTAAGAAAGGAAGCTAGGACTTAGAGATATGGGTGAGTTTCTGAATAGTTTCACTAAACATTATCTCAGCTCAATGAGCTACTTAGCTAAAACCAAGGACCATGACTGACTGCATCATTGTTGTGGGAACACAGAATAATACCTGGAGAAGAACTGAGAGAGGACCCAAACTACTTTAGAATTATAAGCATATGGCTCACAAATTGTTATGAAACTCTTCTTCATAATTATTACAGAATTATTTCAAAAATATAATCATGAAAGAAACCTGTTGCACTCTCTCTTAGTCATTCCTTCTATCTATAACCTGTTTCAGGTTTGAATTTCTCCTCACCTAGGTTTGCGGCACGTGCTACTTGGAGTTTCCTTTTCTAGTGCACTCCCTTTAAATCTGCAGCAGAGATGGCTCTGCCCACCAGATTTGTAATTGCCAGTCCTTAAGATAGTCTGTGGGATGTGCCAGCCTACTCAAAGAATACATTTATCACTACTCTGCATCCTAGTTCTTGGCAGTGATCTGGGGGGAAAAAAAAGAAAGGCTGTCATTTAGGGACTAATGCAGCTAAGAAGTAAATGGAGCCCCTGCCTTATCTCTTTCCCCTTCCATACAGCAGAAGGCACAGAGGTTCTAGGAAACTACAGACCCACACGATGGCAACAGTTTGAGAAACACAAGATGGCTAGGAAAGCTGTCTATGCTGTGCATGAAAAAATTCACTGCCAACCAGGAACATCCATGTTGCAATGCTGAGTGAGGGAGAGACAGACTTCTGTGGAGTTAGGCTGTTGAGATCTGGGGGTTGTTTCACATAGTAGCATTTCCTTGACAGCTAATTCATCTAACAAAGCACTACCATGTGAGTCTTGATAAAATATAACTCTGGTACTGTTATCCTCTCTACCTTATGCATGCAAGCAAGCAGACAGGAAGTAAGTGAGGGAGGAAGGGAGGGAAGGAGGGAGGGAGGGAGGAAGGAAAAATATAAAGAAATATGTATATAAATACATTACTTTTGGTTTTATATACGTATATTCTTATTGGAGATATAAGCCCAGACGTCTTCAAATTCAAAACCTCTTTTGACCTATCCAATCTTGATAATAATAATTTAATATGCCTCTTTTTCCCCTACTACATTCTCTAGGCTGGGCACGCCTTCTCTCTAAAGATCTTAGACTGAACTCCCTTGACATTTGGTCATATTGTTCCTTTTGTTAGAACAATGATCTCCCATATTTATGATGTTTCCATAAAAGACCAGCGAACTTCTCCAGCAACAGCTCCAACATCATCACCTCTATGAATCTTTCCATGAACTCCAAGATTTAAAAGATATCTATGTCTACACAACCATCAAATTATTCTCTGCTTTTCATTCCTTCATTTATTCACTTGAATATTTATCAAGTGCTTGTTTTATGTCTGGAAGCACTGTGCTTTTCTCTGGGGACAGAATGAGACTGTCTCCAAAGATTTTATAGATTTTATAAATTTTATAGAATCCTCTGGAAAAAAACATGTCCATAGCTATAGGAAG